ATATATATTATATATCATATATATATATATATATATATATAAGTATATATATATATATATATTATATATATATATATATATATATATATATATATATATATATATATATATATATATATATATATAATATATATTATATATATATATTATATATTTATATATATATATATATATATATATATATATATATATATATATATATATATATATATATATGTATATATATATATATATAAGTATATAATATATATATATATATATATATATATATATATATATATATATATATAATATATTATATATATATATATATTATATATACTATATATATATATATATATATATATTATATATATATATATATATATATATATAGTAAATATATATATATATATATATTATATATATATATAGTATAATTTATATATATATATATATATATATATATATATATATATATTATTTATTATATATAATATTATTTATCTAAAAAATAAATAAATATTTTCTGATTATTTTAGGTGACTGTACTCTTGATGAATGTGTTACATATCTAAAGCGAGGTTAATTTTTTAATTATTTTTTAAAATAGATTGAAATGATTTTAAAGTTACAAAATTTTTTGAAAAGTTAACTTAAAAATATTGATTCTTTTTTAAAAATCAAAAATTAAAGACACCCATTGATTATTGTGATTTTTTGGCGATTGTGGCAATTTTACTGAGTTAACCTCTCTTAAGTTTTCAATCAGTGTCTATTGCAAAACTTAACAAAATTTAACTCAATATAGGATAATACAAAAAGTATGTACAAAAGGTAGGGTAAACTCAGTATAAAGTATTACTAATCTTATATAATTTAAAGACAGAGAATCAAGTAAAACAGTTGTTCTGATATTTTCAAAAACAGTTTTTATTTTGATATCAAAAATTTTAAATTTTATTCCAAGAGTCATAAGTTTTAATATATATGTATATGTATATATATATATATACATATATATATATATATATATATAATTATATATATATATATATATATATATATATATATATATATATATATATATATATATAATATATATATATATATATATATATATATAATATATATATATATATATATATATATATATATAGTGCTTTTTTACTAAAATAACAGGTGCTGAAATTCAACTGTATTTTTCTTTATGTACTAAAAATGAGACAGAAATTAGTAATTCAGTTTGTAAATAAATTTTATATATATAGTTTTATATATATAGTCATATCACTCTATACTAATATCCCACATTAAGAAGGAATTGAAGCAACTGTCTTTTATATTAAATAAATTCCAATTCATCAGAGAATGCCCACCTTTAGTTTATATTAATATAATTTTAGAAACCTTTCTTTCATCCAGCGTTTTCCAATTTGTTAATAGATTCTACCAACAAATTGATGGTACATCAATGGGTACAAGATTGGCACTGCCATATGCTAACTGTTTATGGGTAGATTAGATAATTAAAATTCGAACCCAGTTCCCAAATTCGATTTCTTTTTATAAATGTTACTTTGATGACACTTTTTTTTGTTTTATGGAAGAATTATATGAGGTATATAACTTCATGAATGGAATCCACCCAACTATTAAATTTATTTTTAATAAATCTGACTCTTCAATTAGTTTTTTGGACATTTCACTTTATAGAGAAAGCCAACAGATACAATTAGCCTTCTACATCACGAATCACATCACCCATACCATCTAAAGAGAAACATTACATACAACCAAACGTTACGTTTTAATAGAATTATATCAGAACAGAAAAATCTTTCCAAAGAACTGCTAGCTTTATTGCAAATCCTTGTGTTAAGAGGTTATGCAGTGGAAGATATTAGTTTGCAATTTACTAAAGCCTTGCAATTTAGTCAAAATCAACTAATTAATAAACCCCCTACAAATATAGATGTCGATATATTACCAATAGTGACTCATTATTGTGATATCGGGAGAGATATCAATAACATTGTTGTGAAGCATTGGCATATTATTAGAGATGACCCCGATTTAGCAGAAATATTTCCATCAATCCTAACCTACCTATTTCAATACAGCATCAATTAAAGATATTTTAATACATTCGGTCCATGAATAATGTAAATATACGAAGTTTAAACCATTTTTTATAAATTTTATTTGATGTTTGAATATATTACTAGTCTGTTTATTTTTAATATGTCATTATTATTTGCATTAGTCACACATATCTATTTTATATATTATATGATATTTATTTATGTTTATACCATATTTAAGGCTTTACCTGATACCATTATTATGTTATCATGTTTATGAACTTTACCCTATGCCGTTATTATCTTATAATCATTTCATAAGTTTTACCTTATACCTTATACTACTTTTATCCTATACCACTATTGAAGTTTTTTGATTATTTTTGTAATATTAAAGTTCTATTATTAACTGTTGAACAATAAATTTCCCTGAAGCATGTTTTTAGTCAATAGTATTGCAAATTTTTTTTATTCCTTTGACGTCGTCAAGTCACTTTGTTATTATTAGCACTGCTATGTCTTCAATTAAGATCTTATATTTCTTGATAGGAGTTTTGTTTTCAGTTTCACATCTGTCAGCTACGATAATAAGCTGTTCACTTCTTAAAAATTATTTTATTATTTTATCGAATATGGTAAAATACTTATCTATCTTTTTACTTTTTATATCCTAATTTTTTTACACTATATATTACTATTTATTATTGTTAGATTAATTGGATATACTTTTTGTGCATGTTTGTCTTTATATCCCCATTTTTTCTAAAAATTATTGGTGTTGCCTAAATTTGGAAGGGTGTGGGTGATTAGCTTTTCTGTAGCGAGGTTCGTTTTATTGCAATCATGACTGATATGATGTAGGCTACAGGTGATGATAAAGATAGTCAGGATGCATCCCTGATGAGCGATGCTAGCCATTTTTATCAGGTTCTCCGTAACATCATCGGTGAATGTATTGTGGCCCTGAGGATGGAGTTTCACCTACATTAGTCCACTAATTGGATCTTACAACACCAATATTTTTATTATCTTTCTACTTTCCCTAGTTGGTTTTTATATGTGTATGAATATATACATAGGTTTATATGTATATGTTCATATTTGTTTATATGTATATGTATATATGTATGCGTGTATGTATATATATATATATATATATATATATATATATATATATATATATATATATATGTTTGTGTGTGTGAGTGTGTATTTCCATGTTTATTGGTATGTATGTGTATATATATATATAGATGTATGTGTGTGTATATATATACATATTTCAGTACTTCGGCTTTACTTTATTTGAACACTATATTATTTCATTACCATTTAATTCTGTTGTTGAGTTTATCATATTTTTAATGTTTATTATCTTGTATCTACATGAACATCTATAGCTTGATTGGTTAGAGCGTCAGCCTGATAATCCATGAGTTCCAGATTTAATTGCCACTCTGAGCGTATTACGTTGAGCCTAATATTTTATCTTTGTATTTTTTATACTTGTGCGTTGGTTATATTTTCCATTATGAGTCTAAGTTTATAATTTCTATTACATGCGCAATCTCTAAATTATCATTATTATTTTTTTAATATACACTTTACTTAAGTGTCATTGTTTTGCTCTGAACACCTGTTCAAAATATCTTTTTAATTTAATTTTTTAACAAGAGGTCATACACAGAAAATACAATATATATATATATATATATATATATATATATATATATATATATATATATATATATATATATATATATATATATATATATATATATATATATATATAGTATACATTATATATATATATATATATATATATATATATATATATATATATATATATATATATATATATATATATATATATATATATATATATATATATATATATATATATATATATATATATATATATATATATATATATATATTGTGCTATCATTGAAAAAATCTTATCACCTCTTGTGCAAAAATTGAAAACATATATCAAACCCGATTGGCATTTCATTAGTGCTTGTATGGAGTATCAAAATACCAAATTATTATCTCTTATCTTTAAAAAGCTGTTAAATTTTGTATATGAAAATTATGTGATGGTTTTTGGAAATCTTTATTTTAAAAACTGTAAATTTTATTTTAAAGAGCTATAATTTTACTTTCAGTTTTTCAATCAATTAATCAGAACAGCTAGGGGAACAAAAATAACTCTACTTTATACTTATTTAGTGGTGGGATATCTTGAAGAATTGAAATTATTTCCTAAGGTTGTACCAAATACCTTCAATAAATTTAAATGTGAAAACATTTAAGACAACTTCAAAAGATACATGGATGAATGTTTTGTTACTTTACTAAAATCAATTAATGCTACTTTGCTGTTAAAAAATCTTAATTCATTGCACCCCGATATTAAATATACAGAAGAACAATCTAAACTGAAACTGTCTGTTTTAGGCAATACATTAAAATCAGTTTTTTAAAACACTTTTATCGTACCATCACAACGTCAACCAAAAAATATTTAAAGACACATAAGTACCTCAAGTTTAAAGAGGGAACCAGTTTCTATAAACGATAAATGCAAAGTTTTAAAATGCATATCAAAATGTTGTAAGTTATGTTTACTTGCTGCAGTTGGTTATCCATTTTACCACATCAATGAGTAAGGTATGGAACATTAAAACTTCAATACCATATAATTCGTAAATAATATTTATTTTTTATCATGTAATGGATGTGATGGAAAAATGGCATAAAATAGTAAAACTAATAACGTAAGATTAAGAACAAATTTACACATCTATACATGCAAAACAGGTTCAGATAAATTTGATCAGCATACATCTGAACCATATTGAGTGTGCTGTACATAAAAAAATTACAGTTCAAGTTATGCATATATATGCAATATGCATAATTTTACATTTTTCTTTATGGAAGTTTGATTGTTTTTTGCTCCAACTTATGTCTTGCATTAATGTTCGACTATCTTTGATTGATTAAAACTTTACAATTTTTATTACACCAAAGTGCTTTTTTTCCTTTTATTTTATTTTAGTTGAAAGTTTATTTAAATTGCAAGCAATTTTATAATTTTTTTAACCACTTTTCAATGCTCTTGGTAGCATTTAAATTTTTAAATACCTTTGAGTAGTCAATATTATCAAAGTGCTTGTTAATTTCAACAAAGTTTTCTTTTATTATAGTTTTTTTTTTTTTTTTTTTTTACATAGCTTTTTTTTTTACATAGCATTTAGCTTCCAACAAGGCTGCAAGCAACCACTATAAGAGTCAGAAGTTACTGGAAGAGAAAAGATGAAGTTTGTAGAGCAAGATAACGATTGATAGATAATGTTTTTTTTTCCTTCAAATTCTACTGCAACTACTTAACATTAACACTTTCTTGTAACTTTATAAAAACATTCATAGTCTGTTTTCTTTTTTCTCTTTGCTCTTTTCTTCGTTTATAGATGGCTTAATTCTAAAAATCACAG